TCCAAAGATGGAAAAGGACAGCTAAAGCAAGATTCTTCCACGAGAGTTAACTCAGTGGGGAATTAGAAAAAGAGGCGCACTTTCTGCTTAAGTTGACACTCTATTTGGAAAGATCAAATACGCTATTTGAATAGACATAACCAAGGTATACGAACTCAATGACATCAACAAATACAACTGTGCATGCATGATGCCAGTGTGAATGAATAAATGAATGCCATGTATGTGCTGACGAAACAAATAGACAAGATAAACTGGAGATGATAAGACGTCATAGTACAGCTCGACACTCGGCTAATCTCAACAGGATGAGAACATTACTGGAGATAAAACACAGGCCATCATTGGAGCAAGGTCCTTTTACAAGGCTTAAATATCTCTGGAGAGGAAGATATTTTCAGGTAGAAAACCCAAAGTCTAGTCTTCTATTGCAAACAATCCATTGAAAGGATAACAATACGAACAATGCTTCAGCTGGAAAAAAGTCTTGCTTAGATGGAGATACTGGGAACACCACCCTCTGATAATGTATGAAAAACATATCTTGACAAATCTGGATTGCCCCTGGGATTAATTTTGGATGCCCCAAGTTTACTGCTGATAAGCTGCATGTTGCACGACAATTCTTGCGAATAACTTCACTTCTAAAATGCCCCAAGCTATATGGCTGATGAGGAGAAATCGTCTCAAGAGGATTTTACAAAATACCTGGCATCCACCATGCTCTGGTGTCTTCAAACTCTTAGAGAGATTCATCGAATCTCGACGTGATTGCCCCGGGTTGGCTGTAGTTGGCACAACAAAGTCCTCAAATTTTGCCCCAAAAGAGTAAACAAGTTGGGAAAGCATTAATTAGGAGAAACAACATGTCCGTGCTTAAGGTCTTCAGGTGACATGCCCCTGCATATGATTTTTTCTTGAAATGATCTGCCAATTACTCAATAGAGCTTCAGGCCTTAAGAACAAACTCATCACTAGTGCTTACATGTGAGCTTCCTTGATATCAAACAAATGTTTTGCAGTTAGAAAAAGTTTACAATGAGAATGAAAATTCTAATGCAACAGCTATGTAAGTCTTGAAGATTTTGAAAGATATCGCGCAAATTTTGCGAGTTAAAGCACCATTTATTTTTGTATAGGAAAAACATATGATACCAACATAACTATTTAGAACATTCATGGGAGTCAGGAACACTATCTCATTGAAGTATGCTTTCAAAATAACCTTCCTTCAATTAGGACTTTTGAAGGTTGTAACGTGGTCTGGTTCATGGTTTTTAGAAAAAAGATTTTAAGGCTCAAAATATTTGGTGCCCACCCATTCTTCATGATGTTCTTCAACCCCATGTTCAGTTAATTCAACATGAGTGTTCGTCTCTCAAAAGGATTTTGTGACGGTCAAGGAAACGACGAGGCTTTCGGAGTAGAAACCACCCTCATGTCTTCGTGTTTGTAGTCACCAATTTTCTCTTTGTTGAGGACTTTTCTTTGTAGTCCTTTCTTTGCAATTTTTATTTTCCCTAACTTTTGCCTGAACTAATTCTTTTGAATTGATAGTCCAGCGGGATGCCTTAATTTTGCCTAAGTCACACGTTTTCATGTTTTTTTGACTTAGCAGGCTTTTTCTTTTTTCTCGATTTTTGACTTTTTGAACAAAATGTGTGACATTAGCTTGTATTTGCTTGTTGAGTGGATTGTGACTTCCTCGTTTCTTGATGGAGGAGGGATAACATTATGGTTCCACATCTTCTGGCTTCATTATACATGAAAGATAGCCCTCCTAGTTTCTCTTCAAAAAACATCTTCCTTATGAATTTCGAACACTCAGTCAGATTAACTAAAAACTACCCTGCCCCAGGTTAAAATTCAAGGTTTTTTCGTATAGAAAAAAAACTTCTACTTCAAGGCTCAAAAGGGGTTAGCAAGGGATTATCTTCCTTATATCTCCGGTGTTTAGGGATTTGAAACAATGCCTGTACATCATCAGCAAGATTTTATCCAAAAGCATGCAACCAGAGATTTTGTGTTCTTTAGATCATCATCCTCCCTTCAATCTCTGCCTAGGCAAGAGAATGGGCAACAAGTTGGTATCATAATGCAAAAAAGAAATTTGAAATTTGAAAACAAATATGAGTGAAACGAATGAATTTCTTCAAGACAAACATACCCATTGTATTAAGATAATCATTCAGATGCAAACAAGTTCTTACATGCAAACAATGTTTTGATAAACAAGAAAAATTACAAAAGCATGAATAAGTTAATAATCTAGGAAGGCTTTCCATCTGGACTTGAGTTACCGAAAACATCCTTCAAAACTCAAAGTGACCATCAATCGTGTTTACTCTTCGGCACATGCTTGATTTGAACTTCAAAACCAACGTTCTTGAATGACAAGATACCACTTCTGACCAACTTCTGAACCTCAATCTTCAAAGCAAAGCAACCCTCCAAGTCATGGCCAGGAGCACCTTGATGAAAGGTACAAGCCAAATCAGCTTTGTAGTACCGATGTATCTTCTCAGGAACCTTCGGTGGAGGGAGGGTCTGAACCAAATTCCTCTGCATCAAGATAGGGAACAACTTTGTATAGGTAATTGGAATTGGATCAAACTGGGTTTTCCTCTGATTAGGGACTTGCTGATTCTGTTGATGAATAGGAGAAACATGATGATTCTGACAATGATTATTTCTTCCTCTGGTTCTCTTCTTGGAAAAGTTATCATCAAACTTCTTCACACCATTAGCTGAACTACCATCTTCATATGAACATCCTTTCCCAACATCTTCTTCTAGACGCACTCCCACATTCACCTCGCCAGGAAAGTCATTAGGTGCATTAACCATCACCTTCTCATGAGAGAATGATTTTAGAGTTTCAGTGAAGACTTTTATCATCGCTTCCTCCATCTTATAAGGATTGACTTGGGCGGTAACCAAAATTTCGACCAAACCAGTTAAGTGCTCCACACTAGCTTTCAAATTAGTCACCTCTCTGCGGAGTTCAGAAATCTCTTGCTTGATATTCTCCATTGTTCTCTTAACGTCAGTGTTGTACTGGTGAGACCAAAGGAAAAATAAGACTCGGAAAAAGACCTTTGAAAGTGAAACAAAAAATGTAGAATGATGCATGATATGCAAAAGAGAGTTTTTATCTGACTTTCAAGGAACTCAAGATATTAAGTTGGAAACATCAAAGTATGAAGATATAAGATGAATTTTGAACTGGATCAAAGCGTTGATCAAGTTATCATCAAGATCAATCATCCATTTTGGTGGATTAGGGTTTTCACCCTATCAACACCCAAGATCCATTGAGCTTGACGAAACTTGTGATGTTTACAAAGAAAGACCTCCAAATTCCTTCAAAGTCAAGTGAAAAGGGTCTTATGAATGCATGGCTATGCAACAACCACAAGCAAGATCACAAATAAAGTCGAAAGGTTCAACGTCACGAGCATGGAGTCAAGGTAAGGAACACCCCCAAGGTATGTACTAACGGTTTAATCACACTTGTAGAACAAGGTTCTAAGAGTTCCCGGAGTCTACATTCCTCCTTCGGATATTACCAACGTCTTGATTACTCAATAATCAACAATATTCTCAAGAGAAACTCATCCGAGCGTAGCGTCGCATAACAATTACTTCCGGATTACTCCGTTATAATCTCCGCGCTACACATAAAAGGCCAAGATGGGTTAGGGTTCTACGGTTCCCAGCTTCTCTGGCTCCCAGGTCGAAAATAATAATGTCTTCCCGATTACTCGGTAAACAAATATTACGTTCAAAAGGGCCTTCCACTGAGTGGGGGATCTCATGCCTCCTTCTTCGGGATTACTCCCTCAAAGTTAACATGACTATACCGCCCGTCCTATTCCTAAGTGTAACTCAGACCGGGTATAGGACTTGTCCTTTGTAAATATTATCAACACCCAAATAATCACAATATATACATATAATCAAACAATCAAATAATGATAAAATAGATAAAACAAATTAGGCTTAACCCACTTAGGGATGGACCAGCAAGAGGTCAATCTTTCCCCAGCAGAGTCGCCAATTCTGTAGCGGTGAAAATCGGAGATCAAGCTATTAATTAACTTGACTCACAAAAAGCAAGAGTCGCCACCGCGCTTTATTATTTCCAAGGGAAAAGGGAAAAGAGCGAAATAAAACCCTAAAATATGCAATGTAAAATAATACTTAAAAGTAATAAAAATACAATGCGTTTTTGAAAGAGATCGAGAGTTCGGGGGTTGGTTATACAATGGGAAGGTATTAGCACCCAATGCATCTGCGGTACTCCGCAGGAACCTTTTTGAAATATCTGTTTTTTGGTTAAAATTGTTTGTTTGATTGGTAAAATAATTAAACTAACTAATCTAAATTGACTAAATTATTTAAAACTAATTTGACTAACAAAAATAATTTAAACTAATTAAACTAGAAAATCTAATTAATAAGTAAATCTAAGAGGGTATAGGTTAGAATTAGTGCTAGGATAAGTAGGAGATTAGAAGCAATGAGCCCAAAAGCCCAATCACTAAAATAAACCCTAATATTAATAATGATAATAGATATTTAAAAAAAAAATAATAACAACAAAAAAAATCATGTGGTAAAGAGTGGAAAGGAGACGGACAGTTACCTGAAGTGGGTCAATATGGCGCTTATCATTCAGTAACCCATATGTCTGCATAACTGAATGCAATTCCTCATCAAGCATAGAGGCTGATACATTGCTAGGAGGAGTTGACATAGAAGCAAGCTTCAAGGCTGCATCAACAAGTCTAAACTCAGATAGTATTTGTCCAGGGGAGAATTTATATTGTAGTTGCTTGGCGGCAGTGATTTGCCCAAATTCCAATAAAGAAAGAACAGCCCTTTCCAAATCTGCCGCTCCAACCCTGTCCTCCCACCTAGAAAAAGACATTTCTACTTTCAAATTTTCTTCTTGTAACTGCAACTCATTTTTGAAACTGATAGTATTGGAGCCATCATCAGTATCTGCACTTTTTTTCTACCGAGTCAAGAGTTGGGCGTCTCAAAGCCACATATCCTTTGGCCCTTCGTTTTGGCTTTGTATTCCCACCAAAAGTAGTTGAAAGACCAGCATCCACCACTTGATTCTTGTGAGGCATTTGATTGTTTTCTCTGGACTCGTATTTTTCTACAGTTCTATTCCTCATTGTATTTATATGGTTATCCATCTTTGCTATTATACTTGCAGTTCGGTCAATAATACTGAAATCATTCCTGATAGCACTCTCCCTGGTAGAAAAGGTTAAATTAAAGTCTCCTTCACTCTTCACCTGAGTCTCAGATTCAACAGCTAAGAGCCATACTTTGGTTTCAATTTCACGCAGAAGTTGCAACGGACAGACAGGGTTGGAAAGACTAATCATCCCACTTAGCCATTGCAGAGACAACAATAGAAGTTCATGAAGCTCCTTTGCAGGAAGATCTTTCTCCACAGCTTCGGCATGTTTAAGAAAAAAAACCCAGCTTGAAGAGAAGGAAAGGAATATCTGATGAATAGTGTGTGGCAGTGGTGATTCTACGGTGATTAGGAGGCAGAAACAAGTTGGGGTAGTGGCACGATAACGCTAACAGAGGGTACCAGTTTGTTGTTGTTGTTCAAGCTACAGGTTTACAGAGGGAATATGAGTTGCAAAAGGGATTGCCCAGAATCGATGGTGATACGGCGTGGAGAGGAAAAGCGGAAGTAACAGCGAGTTACGGTAATTGATGAAGGTAGGAGAAGGGAATTGGTGAAGTGAAGATTGAAGGGGGGTGTTGGTAAATGGTTAAAGGAGTGTAGATGGAGAAGAAGGAGCGGCACTGGAAAAGAGTGAAGTAAGTGGAATTCCAATTTTCATTTCAGAAGACTTAGCAGTGGCCGCAGCCATCAACATTATTTCTTGCACCTTTTCTGCAGGAATTCCATCATATACACACATACTTCCATTATAGACAATGGCAAATTGACCTTTTAAATTCAGTCCACATGTTGACATTGGCCAGTTAGCAAAAAAACTCTTGACAGAACCATCATCACTGGCACTGTTGTTGCAACTCATTGAAGAGTAAGAGGCTCTAATTGGTTGTGGTGGACACGGTGGAGAAAAGTTGTTTGTGACGGTTGATGTTGAAGGTTGTTGTTAATGGGCGGTCCTTGCGAGTTAGAGAGAAGGCCGTGGCGGTTCTTACAGTCTTTTTCACAAAAGCAACAACTCAGTTACTATCGCTACCAAACTGTCCAATAAAGTGTGGCTCTGTCACCATTCCCTTCCCATTTAGAACCACCTTGGTTTGCTGTGGAGGAGTGTTTCCAAGTGTAAGTTTACAGTAAACACTCGGGTTTCCAACAGACTGTTTCATATTATTACCGCACTTGATAATCACCACCAATGTACCCGGCAAACACTGCAATAGAAATTATGCCTTCTCCTGAAACCGAAGTGGGCCAGATTGGATTAAAAACTGTAACAAGGGAATAGCATCTGCGGTTGCTATGGACTGAGCTCTAGAAATTTCTGTTGGGCACGCTGACCAAGCTTGCCTGAGCGGAAAAAGAGCATCCAGGGCAGCTTCCTGAGTAGCCTCTGAACCAGTCTTTAAGGATGTAACCAGATGTGGGATGCTAAGTGTTGCTGGTTCAGTTGCTCTCAGTCGCGAGAAATTGCTAAATAGAGAATTCAAGGCTTTAAGATACTCTTCATTCACAGTTCCAGTAGCCCATAAATCCTTTTCAATAGCAGCAGTTATCGCTCTGACTGTTTCACTAGAAGCATACTCTTGAATAGTATGATTTGAAAAGAGAAGTTTAATAAACATTGCAGCCTGAACAGATGTTTCAGGATCACTTGAACCAATTAGATCGAGTATAACCCGAACCCCACCGGCCTCTGCAACTGCTCTTTTATTTGATCGGCTGTGCATCACAAGGTTTTGCAGAGCGCATATGGCAACAACTTTCATTTCTTCAGTTGGTTGGTCTTCAAGCACATTCACTAAAGCACGACAAGCTGCGACTGCATCAGCTGTCCGAGCAAGACCCTCATTCTGGAATAGATCACCTAGAGCCAAAGTTGCTAATAACCTCGCTTGCCGTAATTGAGTTTGTGGATCCAAGAGGTACTGGGATAATGGTAAGATGGCTGATTTAGTAACCTTTGTTTCTCTAATCTTTACATTGTTCAGTAATACTTCTAAGAGTCTTGCAGCTGTGTTTATTGTTATTTCACGGGGGGTTGATGAAAGGTGAACATAGGTGGAAAGTGTATTGGAGAAAGGAAGGGTTTACAGTAAAAGGTTGGCGGATGGCAATGTGAGGATGAAGGTGGTGTGTTTTTGGTGGCTACTGTGTGTTGGAAGCAATAAAGGGAGTTTTGTGTTTTAGTTATGAGAGATGTTAGTTGTCCTGTGAGGAAGAATAGGTGCAGAGACTATGTACTGCATAATGGGATGGTGATGGGTGTATGCAGGCGGGAGTTTTTTTGATTGTGGGGGGAAAGATTGTGTGGATTGAAAAAATAGGAGGGAAATATTTTTGTGACTAAAAGCCCTTTAATGACAAAAAATAAAAATGAAACTTGAAAGTATATAAAAAACTCAATTTAAAATGATTTTTTTGAATATTTTATGAATAAAAAATAAAGACACAAAATGACCGAAAACGATAAAAACCGGACGAAAATTTATCCGAAAAAATAAAATGAACATATTAAAGTAATCTACATGTCACAAAGATTAAAGAAAAAATATTCAAGAAGTCAAAAAATCAAAAATAAAATAATAATAAAAATATCAGACTAAACAGACGTTTAAGGTTAAAACGAGACTTCGAACTATACAAAAAAATAAAGCGAGCATACCGTCATAATCTACGCGAAGCGCAGATTCATAAAATGATCGGTAAAAGGTGAAAACTTGAAATATTTTCTCGCTACTTTCCCGCATAGTGTCGAATCGCTTTTAACAGTCTGTCTATAAAACCAAAATATTGTTATTATCGACATATAAACAACTTGAAGCAATGCAACAAATGAGTAAATAGATAAAAATGCATAAAGCAAAATGTTGGGTATTTTACAACTGAAAGACAATGCAAACTTTGATTTAAACTGACTTTTTCTGGTCAACTTAAATACGACTAATGATGCAAAATGTGATGAATGAAGATATTTACTAATTATTGTGACCAAATGACAAAATGTGGTATGAATGTGCGACTAAAAAAAATTAGGGGCGAAATTAAGGGGGCAACCGTGTGCCCTGATGAATCAGTCTTCGAGAATCCACAATCAACCGTACTTCGGGTTTGGGAGACTCAAAACTTTAATTGAGGCGCGACACCTGATGCTCTTGATTCAAACCTGTCTTTGCACATGAAACAAAAGAAAACATGAACATACACCTTTGTATGCGATTAGAAATTAGTGATACATAGGCTAAAAATGTTCAAAACACTGGACAATCTTCGCATAGTCAAAGCTCGATGGTGAGAGGTTAAAACCAACCGTATTTCGTGACCTTGGCTTATGTTAAAAAATTCAAAAATAAATATGGGATCTTAGGTCAAAAATTGGGGTACAACAATGTTCCACCTGACCAGCCAAGTGGCAGAAAGTAGCATTCAATTGCCCAAGGTCTTCATCCATATACTCCACATAAATTTTTTTGAAATTTCCAGGACATCCAGAAACCATATTCACCTCCTCTTCATACTCTTCCCTAGGCCTGATTTTGTGGATGAGGCCCTCATCCATCATCTTCTGCAAATCAGCCTTTATCTTATTGCAACCCTGTATGTTTATACTGCAAATAGCACAACCGGAATGGTCATGGGTATATTAGCTAAATTCAAAGAGGTATGCATGCATTTTTACCAAATCTCCTCTAACCAGATGAATATAAAAAATCTGGAAGTCGCCTGGGCAACCGGCCACCATATTCACAACATTTTCTCCTCCATGCATGGGTAGAGAATTGTCTTTCACATTAGGACCCACATCCTTGAAAGATAGAATACCAGACTTCACCAATTTATGTACCTCAGTCATCAAAGGATAACAATTCTCAATATTATGCCATGGTGCTCCCTGATGAAAAGCACATGTTTGGTCTGCCTTGTAATACCAAGGCAAAGGTGATGGCCCAACGGGAGGTGGTCGGGTTTGAACCAACATCTTATGAATCAATGCCGGTAGTAACTCCGTATAACTCATAGGAATAGGGTCATAACTCTCCTTTCTCTGATTATGCCATTGATTCCTCTACTAGGATGGTCTTTGATAAGAAATGGTTGTTGGAGCTGCACTAACAACTGGAGTAACTGAGGCGATTTGCTGATGACGCTGATAATTTCTTCTAGGAGGACTAACCCTCCTCTCTTGCATAACAGCATTTGCATCCCCTTCCTTGTTCTTGGTAAACCCATAAGATGGCTTCTTCGCACCTCTAAATCCTTCACTCTTTGTTAGACGGCCCTCTCTTACAGCCTCTTCTAAACGAATACCCATTCCTACCATTTCAGTAAAGTTACTTGGCGCACTTGCTACCATCCTCTCATACTAGAAACCACCCAGAGTCTTCAAGAAAATCTTAGTCATCTCCTTCTCTTCCATGGGAGGAATCACCTGGGCGGCTACCTCACGCCATCTTTGTGCATATTCTTTTAATTATTCCCTGTCTTTCAGAACCATGGGCATGAGTTGATGACGATCAGGCGCCATGTCCACATTGTACTTGTACTGTCTGATAAATGCTTCTCCCAAGTCATTAAAAGTACGGATATTGACGTTGTCCAAACTCATATACCACTTCAGTGCTGCACCGGTCAAACTATCCTGGAAGAAGTGAATCAGCAGACGCTGATCATCAGTATGGGTAGACATTTCCCTTACATACATTACTAGATGAGCATGTGGGCAAGTGTTTCCCTTGTCCATCTTCCTTCTGAAATTAGCCCAAGTGTTGTAGTGGTGAGTCAGCTTGTTGAACGAAGTAAAGAAGCTTGGTAAGACACCTGGATATGCATAACAAATGCAAGAAATATGTACAATATGATGCATGATATGCAATGCATATGATTTCATTTAGTATTTCAATGGATTTAAAGTTTATAGACATATTGCAAATGTCAAAGTAATGACACATTTGAAAATACTGGAAATTTTTATTATAATAACTTCAAAATGGGTTACAAGTCTCAACAATCCTAAGTACAAGATAAAGTTTGAAACCCTAAGAAGTAAAGCTAATGGAGATCACTCTACACGCTGGCGCTTCCCTGTAAGCCTGGAAATATGAGCCTTCAACCTCTGGTTTTCTTCCGCATGCCTGGTGGAAACTTCCTTCCAATCACCTGAATCAGAAAGGGAGCAACTAGCATCTGACTGAGGCTTAGGAGAAAATAAATCCCCTTGCCTATCCATGATCTGTATAGACGGACTCTCAAGAATCTCAATCAATTCGTCTTTCTACTTCAAGTCTGCTCTAAAGGAAATCTCAAAACTTTGGCACTTGTTCTTCCAAGCATCCTTTTCCTGCTGCATCCGGACCAAAGCAAGCTTTAACTCTTCAATATCATCCAATAAGAGAGGAGTGGTCTTCACAAATAAATTAGACATAGGTTTCTCCCGGGAATACGACATCTTCAACTAAATTGCTCTTGTTTGGACCCACTAAAGATATGGCTCCAAAGAAACATCTCCCCTAGGTCCCAAGTCTTTCTTACTCTTCTTATGAATGTGACGTCGAGCCTTTACAATCTTCTCCCTAGCTTCCCTATTGTCTTCTCCTTCTTTCAGAAAGAAACTACTCAAATGAATACTATTTGGTTTGTCCCTCATCGGATAACCAAGCTGTCGTCGTGCAAGAACATGGTTATAGTTAATTCCTCCCTTTGTACCAAGAAGAGGTACATTGGGGAAACTACCATAACTGTCAACAATCTCCACATCCTGGTAAGCTCAATGATACCAATAAATATCCGAGTTAGTAAGTGCCATGATCTTAGGAGCCCAACGGGGTTCCTTCCTGACATCCTAGAAAGCATCAGACTGAGGCATATGAGAGATAAACCACTGATACAACAAAGGTGTGCAACAGATAATCATCTCTCCATGATAAGAACTGCAAAGATGAATAGAGTAATAAGCATCACCCAACAATGTAGGAATTGGGTTTCTAATCATGAAGATCCTGATAGCATTAATGTCAACAAACTTGTCCACATTAGGAAATAAGAACAACCCGTAAGCAAGTAGAGCAAAGATAGCCTCAAAAGCGATTGTACTCTTCATCTTGGCAAAGTAACGAGCTTTCTCCAATAAGAACTGAGCTGGTAATCCTTTAATCCCTCCTTTAGTAGTCATATGGGCTTCCACTTCATACTTCCCTAAATGATCAAAGCGGCAATCTCATGTGATTTTGGTTCACCCTCAAAACCAGTGAAAGGAACACGATCAACAACAGGTAAATCCATTAGATAAGAATACTCCTCCAGTGTAGGCATCAACTGATAGTCAGGAAAAGTAAATCAATGATACATCGGATCATAGAACTGGACCAAGGTCGAGAGAATTCCTTCCTTCATCTTCAGCTTCATAAGAGGAATGATGGATCCATACTTCTTCCAAAATTCATGGTCAAAAAGGTACTTGAGATATTCACAAATGGTCAACTTTTAAGTCCCTTGAAAAAAGATTTCTTCAAAAGATGCTTATGAGTACATGGATGCATGATGCAACAATCATACACAAGATCACACATATAGGGTTCGTAGGTTCAACGTCACGAGCATGAGGTCGAAGGTACTACCCATAAGGTATTGGTCTAAATGTTATCACCTGCCGAACAAGGTTCTAGAGGTTCCCAGAGTCTACATCCTTCCTTTGGATATTACCAACTTCCTTATCTACTCGGTAATTAGTTATTTTATCAAGAAAGACTCGTGCGAGTGTAGTATCACGTGACAACTATTTCCGGATTACTCTGTCATAGCTTCCGCACTACACGTAAAAAGGCCAAGATGGGTTTGGTATTATAAGGTCCTCAGTTTCAGTAGGCTCCCAGGTCGAAAGCATTACGTCTTCCCAATTACTTGACACTATAGTCAAAGGGGCCTCCACTGAGTGAGGGATCTCATGCCTCCTTTTTTAGGATTACTCCCTCAAAGTTAACATGACTATACCGCCCGTACTATCTTAAAGTTTTCCCAATTCCGACTATAGGACTTATAAGTAATCACCTAGTACCCTGAAAACCAGGAAAATCCAGACAAACATATATACAACATATAACACATAAACAACAATAGCACATATACCGATAAAAACAAAGATAGGCCCAACCCACTTAGGGATGGACCAGCAACAGGTCAACCTTTCCCCAGTGAAGTCGCCATTTTTTTCTGTAGCGGTAGAAATGTTTAAGAGTAAGCTAATTGATTGACTAGACTTATACAGATCAAAATAAAAATCACCACCGTTCTTTATTGTTTCCAAAGGAATGAGAAAAGAGCGAGTAAACCAAAAAGAGGGGGAAAGATTCTAGGTAAGGGGGTTGGTTATGCAAAGGGAAGGTATTAGCACCCTAAACATCTAAGGTACTCCGCATGAACCTTTTTAAAAAATATTATATTTTGGCTATAAAATGTAGTATGTAAAATAGATGGTAGAGGTGAGAAAAGAAGTATTTTTTATGATTTTTGCACCCGCCGCGGTTGCGAACCTTTAGTGCCTATGTACCACCTTCCGTGCAATAGGGGATCAGGGTACACGTAGTTCGTCTTTTGAAAATTTTGAAACACAAGTGTGTTGGTTAATTTTATGAGATAAGACATCATCGTCATTGTCCGTGTGGAAAACATACTTAC